CCCCAGACTTATTGTGTCACATGCTCATCTCTGTAGTACAGGTACCTCTGGGCATGTTGAAATAGCTGATAGGTAGACTTGCAGATGAGACTTATATGATGAAACAAAGATTCCTAGGAAATATCATCCTAAGATAAGATCACAGACATGTTTGATTTATCACAGATCCTCAGTAATCAATATAAAGGCAATTTAAGTGTGGTACTTTTCTCAGATTATGGTGCAGTGAATTCATGCTTGATTTTTAGGAAAGCGATGAATTGTAGGAGGGAAAAAAAAAAAAGAAAGAGACCCTAAGATAAACAAAATGCCTTAGAGGAGAAGGTATTATTGCTTTGTTACAATTTGAACAAGGAATTCACAAAAAGGGAGATGCAAAATATTCACCTCAGCACAGAACACACTGTGGCTTTCGGCCACAGAGGCTCAGGAGAGCAGAATGTTGGGTTGTGAGAAGTGGTGTCAGGACTGCTCCACTGCATCCGTGGCCACAGGGGCGTCAGCTGCCCCAGGAGCACCAGAGGCCAGTACCCTGCACATCTCTCTTACTTCTAATGAATTACTATGAATAACAGCACATTAAATACTAGGTTTGTGGCACTATTCTGAGCACTTCCTGAATGATCCCTCTAACCTGGCTACAACCACAAAAACAGATGACCAGTACTTCTCTCTCTGGGCCATGGTCAAGTAGACACTCCACTGGGTAGGACAGCCAGAACTTGACACAGGCAGTCTGGCTTTAGTTTGTGCTCTTTACCACTTTGCTATAGTGGTAAAGGCTAGATTTATCACTTCGGTTCACCTGAATTGGAAACTAGAATATAAATTATTCCTCTGGGATCATGTGGAAAGGAACAACTGATAGTGTGTCTGAGAACTTACAGCATGTTGCTGTTTGGGACAGCCCACCACGCAAGGGGGGGCTCCACACAGAAATTAGCCACAGATTCTAATTATTATCAGTTGTTAGTATCTCATTACAGAATGAGAACACAGCTATGGAAGGGATCAAACTGCTACTCTAGCAGAGGAAAAAGGCAGTTAATGAACTAAGGAATGGTGAGGGCCATATACTGGGTCATTTCTGGGTGATAAAAGACTAGACGGTTCCACAATCTGGCTGAGGAATTATGTCCAATGAGCTGACTAAGCCATCTGACATCACTGCAGTGCCCCTGTGAGCCTGTGGCCTGCAGGCTATAGGAATCCAGACTAAAAGCACACTCCTCGACACCCACAACTTCAAAACATATCACAAAGCTCCAATAATCAAACTGCGGTACCAGCATAAAGACAGACATGTAGACCAATGTTACAGAGTAGACAGCCCAGAAATAAACTCCATGTAACTGAGTAAATAATTGTTAAGTAGGATGCCCAGACCACTCAATGGGAAAAGAACACTCTCTTCAACAACCAGTGTTGCAAAAACTGGTGTTTGGAT